CATTATCATCGTCATCATCATCACCATCATTAGCATCGTCATCATAAGCTTCATCCTAATATTCATCACCATCATCATCATAAGCAGCAGCATCATCAGCATCATCATCACCATGTCATCACCCCGACCACCAGCATCATCATCATCAGCATCATCAGCATCATCATCAACAATAAAATCACAATCGTCATCATCAGCATCAGCATCAGCATCATCATAAATACCATCATCGTCATCATCATCATCGTCATCGTCACCACCATCATCATCACCATAATCATCATCATCATCATCAGTATCATCATCATCGTAATCTTCATCGTCACCGTCATCATCATCAGCATCATCATAATCGTCGTCACCATCACCATCACCACCATCATCGCTTAGCGTGTTCTTGCATCGCTTGGACGCGTCCATTCTTGCCGGCGAGGCCGGCGCCAGAAAGTCTGGGCAGCCTTGGCGCACCTCGGGGCCCTCTCGAGCAAAGGACGCGCGCCCGAAGCCAAAGGCCGTGCACGGGGGGAGTGGGCGCCCGAGCGACGCCAGGGCTCTCGGGCGTGTCCGCCGGTGGTCGGCGCCTGGCCGGCCCGGGGGTAAGTGCGGTCCAGGAGCTGCGCCTCGCCGGGGGGGGGGCATCAGCCTGCCACGCGGGCCAGGCTGCGAAAGCCAGTGTGGCATGAGATGCTCCTGTTTTGGGGGGCCGGTAGCTTCGACCGGAAGAGGTGCGCTCTCGAAAACAATTGTTTTGGGGGCCGGGCGCCATCTTCAGAAGATCGGCCGACGGGGTTTGGCGGTGCGTGCTTCGGTGAACGAGCAGCGACAGAAGCACAGCAACTCGGAGGTCCGCGCGGATGTTTCGGATGGCGTGTGTTGTGCGCATTGGCATATGCTTAGGCGTGCATGTGTGTAACGTATACACGCATGCTCCCTTCCCACTCCATCGCGCTCCTGGGCACTCTACCTCTACTTCGGCCTCTGGGGGCCGGCTTTGGAGGGCCCAGGGCCCAGCAGAAAGTTTTTTCACTGCGGGCGTTTTCGCCCAGTTCCGGGCGCCGGGGCTCTCACGGATCGATCCCGCTCGCAAAGAAGTGGCGCAGAAAGCTGGGGTCCAGACTCCAGTGGTGTTTCTTTTGCGATGTTGCAGTTTTCTGCAACGTCGGATCTCAGGGGGCGTCTGCGCGTCGTCGGCCGTTAACGTCTCCCGTGGTTCGTCGCCGCGGCCGCCGCCGGCGGCCCGCAGACGTCCAGCGCAGCCGGGAAAAGGCACGGCGCCCAGCGTTCGAAGTTCGGGGCCTGGGGCTGGAAGTCCGTCCCGGGCCCCACAGGGGCGTCGAGAGGAGCGGCCCGCGCACTGGTTCCAGAGGTGCCGTCGGGAGTTCCCCGATTGTGTCATTGCGTCGACCCCTGGAGGTCTCGACCTATTCCCCGGGACCGGTTTTTCGTCCTGAGTCGTTTTTGGACGGTCCCGAGGGCCGGTAAGGGCCTCCAGAGGCAGAAAATATTATTTCACCTGAGAAAAACCCTAATCAGTGGATGGCTTCAAAATTTTGGCGGGTACCATGCCTGGCCGCATGTTCGCCGTAGGGCCCGAGGAGACACGATACACTAAAAACTGATTCCTTGTAGGTGTGATAAGGGTCATGGTATGCTCGCCTTTTCGGGCATCGGGTTGAGTGAGATGGGTAGTGAGATCGATAGTCAGATCGATGATTAAATCGATAATGAGATCGATGGTGAAATCGATTGAGTGAGATGAATAGTGAGATCGATCATGAGATCGATAATGCATCGTGGGATCGATAAAGGAATCGATAAGGAGATCGACCGGGAACCCAGGAACCCACCGAAATCGGCCCGTAACCAATAACCAGGAACTTGGGAACCCGGAGCCGGGAACCCGGCCAGCCGGCTACCAAAATCGGCGGGAAATTTTCGCCAAATTTTTCAACATCCGCCAGGACCCCTTCAGTGCAAGCACTGAGTGGGGAAAAGAACCTTTCGCCATGACTGGACGGTCCCGAGGGCCGGGAAGGGCCCCCAGAGGCCGAAAATATTGAAAAACGTGCCGTTTGGACTTTCTCATTGCCTGAGGGGGTCTGGGTCCAGAGGTGCCGTCGGGAGTTCCCAGGGGCCCCCCAGCTGGGGAGAGGCCTGCGACGTCGGAACTCCCGGGCCGTCGTCGTCCGCTGTCGCGCCGCAAGAAGACCCAGACAGCCGGCGAGATGCGTGTTTTTGGTCCGCCCGCCCGCGGCCCCAGATCGGGCTGGACGAAAGGGGGGGAGTGGGAAAGGGGGGGGTACGACATCTGCTGCATGCAGCTGGTTTCGGCCCCACCGAGGGGCCCATTCCTCGATACATGGCCGCCTCCAGCGCCGGGAGGCGCCGGGAAAATCAGCTACGTGAGCTGATTCTCAACCCCCCCCTTTGCTATCCCCCCTTTTCGCCCGACCCGACCAGAGCTCCCGACCCCTTCTCCGGGAATCGTTTTTCCTCCCAGATCCCTTTTCTCGGGGGCGGCCACGAGGGGGGTGATGACTAGGGTGGGGGGATATCCTGGCGTGGGCCATGATATTCCCTCTGATTTCACGGCGCCTCTTCTTGTTTCAATGCGTCCCTGGCCCCGCCCCTGGGCCGCGCACATGCCGCCGGCCATGATTTGCGCCCCCCCCCTCTTGGACGCCCCCCTCTTGGCCGCCTCCGATTTCCCCAGACCCCCTCGGGCAATAAAAAAAACGACGGGAGGTTCTTTGCTATCTTCGGCCTCGGGGGGCCCTTACCGGCCCTCGGGACCGTCGGAAAACGACTCAGGATAAAAAACCGGTCCCGGGGAATGGGTCGAGACCTCCAGGGGTCGACGCAATGAAGAAATCATGTCGTCGGAGGTCTGGGGAAGTGGCCCCCGGATGGCCAAGATCGAGGAAGAGCACCGGGGTTGAAAAAGCTTGTCGTCGGAGATTTGGGTCCCCGTGCGGCCGCTTGCTGCCTCCCCCCCGCGTGCTGGATCTCAGGAGAGAGGCGCTGGCCAGCCTGGGGATCGAAGCGCGGGCGCTGGTGGAGGCCATCGAGCGGGGGGACGAGGATCGGCGAACAGGTAGTGTTAAGCGAGGAAGCGCGCCAGTGGATGTCCCTGAATACTCACAAGGGGGTGTGTGCTCGCAGAACCCCCCCCCTCCTCCTCTTCAAAGGGGGCGTGAGATTTTCGCCCCCCCCCCCCACCCCCCCTAGGCGCTGGAAGGGGGGGGGGTTCGACCCCCCCCCCCTCCCCTCCTTTGCGCCGAACAGGGGGCTGGGGAGGGGGGGGCCTCTCGGGTAGTGAGTAGTGAGCAGAGTGTTTTGAGTAGCGATTGGTGAGTAGTGGGTATTTGATAGTGAGTAGTGCGCAGCGAGTAGTGAGTAGTGAGTAGAGGGTAGTGGGTAGTGGTAGTAGTGAGTAGCGCGTAGAGATTAGTGAGTAGTGAGTAGTGGGTAGCGAGTATCGGGAAGGATGTAGTGAGTAAGGAACTGTGTGTAGTGAGGACTGAGTAGTGTGTAGTGAGTAGTGCATAGTGAGTAGTAAGCAGGGAGTAGGGATGAGGGAGTAGACAGTAGCGAATAGCGAGGAGTGAGTTGTGAGTAGGGAGTAGTGAGTAGTGCGCAGTGAGTAGAGAGTAGTGAGTAGTGGGTGGTGAGTAGCGAGTAGCAGGTAGCGAGTAGGGAGTAGCGAGTAGGGAGTCGCGAGTAGTGAGTAGTGAGTAGCGAATAGGGCGTTGTGAGTAGTGAGTAGTGAGGAGGGAGCAGTCAGGAGTCAGTAGTGAGTAGTGAGTAGGGAGTAATGCGTAGCGAGTAGCGAGTAGTGAGTACTGAGTAGTGAGTCGTGAGAAGCGAGAAGTGGGTATTGAGTAGTGCGTAGTGGGTAGGGAGGAGCGAGCTTAAATTTGTGAATAGCGAGGTAGGAGTGGTGAGTAGTGAGTAGCGACTTGCGACTAGTGACTAGTGAGTAGCGAGGAGGGAGCAGTGAGTAGTGAGTAGCGTGTGGTGCGTAGTGGGTAGTAAATAGTTCGTATTGGGTAGCGAGTAGCGGCTAGTGAATAGTGAGTTCTGGGCAGTGCGTAGTGAGGAGTGAATTGTGGGTACTCAGTACTCACCAGTGGATAGTGGGTAGTGAGTAGTGGTTAGTGAGTAATGAGTAGTGGGCAGTGAGTAGTGTTTAGTGAGCAGTGAGTATGGAGTACTGGGTAGTGAGTGGTAAGTAGTGAGTTGGGAGTAGCGGGTAGGGAGTGAGTATGTAGTGTGTAGTGGGAGCATAGTGAGTAGTGAGTAGAGGGTGATGAATAGTGCGCATTGGGTAGCGAGTAAGGCGTAGTGAGTAGCGAGTAGTGAGTAGTGAGTACTGTGTAGGGAGTAGCGAGTAGCGAGTAGTGGATAGTGAGTAGGGAATTGTGGGCAGTGAGTAATGACTAGTGAAGTGTGCGTAGTGGGTAGTGGTTACTGGGTAGTGAGTAGTGGTTTGTGATTAGTGAGTAGTGGGTAGTGAATTAATTGTGTTTAATGAGTAGAGAATATTGAGTAGTGGGTAGTGAGTAATGAGTACTTTGTGAATTTCTGAGTAGGGAGTAGTGTGTAGTGAGTCGTGGGTAGTGAGTAGTGAGTCGTGAGTAGTGAGTAGGAAGAAATGAGTGGTGAGTTGCGAGTAGTGGATTGTGGGTAGTGAGAATGCGTAATGAGTAGTGAGTGCTGTTCGGGCCTGGGGTTTGGACTTGGCGTTCGGGTTATGGGTTATGGTAGGGGTGAGGATTAGTGTGGGGGGGGGCAGGGGTCGGGTTCCGGAGACCGGGGGCGCCGTGGCGAAAGGGGGGGGGGGGGGGTCCGAATTCGGCGGCCAAAGGGGGGGAGGGGGGGGGTCGGACCCCCCCCCTTTGCAAGGGGGGGGGGTCCCCCTACGACGGACCGGGAAAAGGGGAGGAGGGGAAGGGGTTCCCCGACGACGGATCGGGGAAAAGGGGGCGGGGGGTTCCCACCCACCCCCCCTTTTGGGGACGTCCAGCGGCGCGCCCTCGTTAAGTGAAGAGTCAACAAAATAGTCTGGGGACGATTGTTCTACCATGTTCGACCATGTGGGAACATCCAAAAATCCGCCTGTAGGGGGACATGCCCGACCTAAAGGTACTGGCAGACGTCAACACAAGTTTCTGGAGATCCGCGCGGATGCCGTGGGTCTGCGCTGCGCCCCCCGCCCCTGGCGCGCGCGAAGCGCGCCGGGGGCGGCGCCGGAGGCACCGCCAGAGGCCTGCAGCGCCGATCCCAAGAAGTCATCGCGGACCTCCGAAGCTTCACGTTTACATGCCAGCGCTTGCTTCAGGAGAGGGAAGAACAACCACACAGACACAATGCATCGTCGACTCCCGGGAAAATACGGGAGGTTGTGGGGAGAGGTTGGTGGGGGGACGACGAACACCCAGAACATGTGCGGGAACATATGGGGGATCCTGGGATTTGTCTGTGTGTGTGTGTTTCGTTGTGCGTGTGTCCTTGGGCCCCTTCGCTGTTGCTGGAGAGGAGGAGGCCGCGTCGCTGCTGGCGGGCCCACGGGCGCCCGAGCTGCTGCGCGCCAGGAGCCTCCGCGGCATGACGCCGCTGATGCTGGTCGGCGCCGGCGCCTGCTCTCCAGGTCGGGCGCCGGCCCTCCTGCCAGGGGGTGCGCTGGGGGTGGGGGCCCTATGCCCTATGCGTTGCAAGCTCCCAGGGCGTGGCAGGCGCGGCATCTCCTCGACGCCACAGGGGGTGCGCTGGGGGTGGGGGCCCTATGCGCTGCAGGCTCCCAGGGCGCGGCAGGCGTTGCATTTCGTCGACGCCGCAGTCAGGCACTCGGTCGCTCGTTCGTCTCAAGCGTTGCACGCTGCGCGGCTCGAGGCCTCCCAGCCCAGACCCCCCCCCTCCCGCGCTGTGAACAAATCGCGACGGGCAGTTTTTGTTGTTCTGCTATGTTCGGCCGCGGGGGCCCCTGCCAGGCCTCGGGGCCAGAGCCTGAACTTTGTCAGATGCGGGCAAGTTGACTTGCATGGCGCTCGCCCCTCTTCAGACGAATACCGGCGTGCAAGTGCCTGTCGACTTGCGTGGTTTCCGCACGTGCGGGTCGTTTGCGGCTTACTTCAGGTTCAAGCCCCCCCCCGTCCTTGCAAGTAAATTTGCCAGAGTCAAAAAGGCACATTCCCGCAAAAAACGACTCAGGATGAAAAGCCGGTCTTGGGAGAGGGGTCCAGGCTTCTGGCGGTCGACGTCATGAAACAATCACGACGTCGGGGGTCTGGGGATGGGGTCAGGCGATGCGGCGATCCCCCGGCCCCATCTACCGGGACCCCATCTATAGGAGGCTTCTATAGGGCTGGTCGGCCTCCAGAGGGTCCCAGCGTGAGTCCCAACGGCCCCCGATGCCGGCTCGCGGGAGTGCCACGGGTCTCGGACGCGGCTGCGACACCCCTGCCACGCCAGCTGCCAGGCAATATCCCGAAAGTTCCCCGCCGCCACACAGTCAAGACCCCGGACATGCGACGTTTTGATTTCTGCAGGACGGCGCCCAGACCCTCTTCCCCGGGGCCGGTTTTCCCTCCCGAGTCGTTTTCCGACGGCCCCGGGGGCCGGCGAGGGCCCCCCGGGGGCGGAAAATGGCGAAAGCCCGCCCGTCCCCGGTGCAGGGCCGGTTTTCCCTCCCGAGTCGTTTTTCTGACGGCCCCGGGGGCCAGAGAGGGCCCCCCGGGGACCGAACATGGCGAAAGCCCGCCCGTCCCTGCAGACGTCCTGGCTTCTCCGCGGCGCGGTCATGGCTTTGACGCCGAGGTGGGGGCCACGGGGGGTCCCGGAGGGGCCCTCTGTCGGGTATATGGCCAGGACCCCAGGTAAGGGAGGAGGAGGAGGGCAAGGGAGGAGGGAGGAGGGAGGAGGGAGGAGGGAGGAGGAGGAGGAGGAGGAGGGGAGGAGGAGGAGGAGGAGGAGGAGGAGGAGGAGGAGGAGGAGGAGGAGGAGGAGGAGGAGGAGGAGGGAGGAGGAGGAGGAGAGGAGAGGAGGAGGGAGGAGAGGAGGGGAGGAGGAGGAGGAGGAGGGAGGAGGAGGAGGAGGAGGAGCCCCTGAATTGGCCAGAATCACGAAACCAGGTTTGCCGTACGTGGTGTTTTTTCGGGCTACGGCAGTTTTCCGGTGAGTGGAACGGGGCGTGGGGGGCGTCCCCGCCCCGCCCCGGCATCAGTAAACCAGGTCCCACGGAACCCAGTTCTGCCAACGCCCGACTCTGGTCTCCTGGCCGTGCCCGAAGTCTCCGGGTCGGGGCTCCTGCCCGTGGCCGAGGCGCACCGCGGCCGGAGGAGAAGAGGCTCCCCTGTCACTCCTTTTGCCGTCGCGGCGGGTGGGCGGGCCGGCCCTGCCAGGTCCAGGGGTGCTCTTGCGTCCTGTGTGTTGGCGGCCCATGCCTTCCACATTCCTGTGGCAGTGTGGCCCTCGGAAGGGTCTCACTATGTCCTCGGCGTGTGTCCTCTCCAGTCCGCCTCGACTGTAATTATTGTTGGGCCTTCTGATGGCAGCGCCAGGACTGCCAGGCTTGCCGTGTGGTGCGCTGCGTCTCGCCATGGGGGAGGCGGGCCCTGACGGAGTCGGCCCCTGAAGTCTGTCGCCGTTTTCGGGCCTCTGGGGCCCTCCACGGGCCCCAGGGCTGTCAGAAGACACGGCTCAGGAGGAAGAGCTCGTCGTCCTGGGGGATGGCCTCGGTCGGGGTCCAGGACCCGCTTCCCTCAGGACCCGCTTCCCTCGTGCTGGCAGTCGTGGGAGACTCGAGATGCTCAGCACGATGACTGCATGTATCCCAGACCCCCGACGTCATGATTGTGTCAGTGCGTCGACCCCTGGAGGTCTCGACCCATGCCCCTGGACCGGTTTTTCGTCCCGAGTCGTTTTTGACGGTCCCGAGGGCTGGTAAGGGCCCCCAGAGGCCGAAAAATGCAAAAAACCTCCCGTGGTGCTTTTTTCATTGCCCGAGGGGGTCTCGGTTTCCCTCATGCTGAGAGCTGTTGGGGACTCGAGACCCTGAGATCCGACGTCTCAAAAAAATTGAGACGCCGTGGAAAATCTAGCCTGGAGCCCCAAACCCTATCTTTCTGCTCCATTTTTCGAGCCGGATCGATCCGTGAGGGTCCCAGGGCCCCGGCTCGAAAAAATTCAGTCGCCAGGATCTCAGGGGATGCTCAGCACAATGACTGCACCTGTGACAGGCGATCGCAAACATGGATTCAGGGGGCGTGGATTGGCGATGGGTCTCGTTTCCATGGGACATCGCGGATGTCCGCCGCCGAACGGGGCGGCACCGGCCGCAGTTTGGGGAGGGCACCTCCCCCGACCCACGGATGTGGCGACCGCGCGCCACATCCCTGGACCGCTAAGCCTTGTGGAAGTCGATTACTGGAGAGGGAGCATGCTGCCAAATAATTTCCAGATGTCTACAAAATGGTTCAACTTTGTTTCTAAATATAAAAACATGTCTGAAACATGTTTTACAACAGGCGCGCCCCCGGCTGTTTGGCGCAGCTCGGACGTGTGCATTTTTCCTTCGGCGAGGACCATCGAGGAGCATCCTTGATCATTGGGCGGAAAAGCCACGCGCGAAACTAAAAAAAAGCACAGGGAATGGACGTCCGGGCCCGTCGCCCTGGAAGCGTGGCTCGCGCCCGGGCGGCCGCCGGGGCCCTGTCGGGAGGCAGCGGGCCCTGCCGCCCTGGAAGGCACGTAGAGTCCCTGGCAGCGCGCCTGCGGGCGCGGGCGCGCGGTTTTCTCGGCGGGGCCAGGGCTACAAGTCGGGCGTGTCCCTCGACAGTTGTGGGGGACGATCAAGGGAGAGGAGAAGCATGCTGCCAGATCATTTCCAGACGTCTTAGAAAATGGGTTAGAACTGGTTTAAACATGTTAAAAACTACATGTTCTAAACATTGTCAGGACATTTTCCTTTGCATTTTAAGCACATGCTTCATTCGGTGATAGGACTGTTAGGGTGCCCATGGTCGTGGCATCCACAACTCTAAATGCTCGGGGGACGATTTTTGGTTTATGTATTGTTTGATTGTTTTGTGCGAATTCTTTTGTTCATATCCCCCTGTAGGAGGACATGCCCGCTCTGAGGCCAGCGCCAGAAAGTCTGGACCATTGTGGACCCTGAGATCCTGGCGATTCAATCTTTTCGAGCTGGGCGTTTTCGCGTCATTCTGGGTCCCGAGGTCCTCCCGCATCGATCGGGCTCGAGAAATGGCGCAGGAAGATAGGGTCTAGGGCTCCGGGCTTGATTTTTCACGTTCGTCCCAATTTTTTGAGACGTTCCAAACCCAGACTCCCTCGGGCAATGAACAAATCATGACGAGAGGTGTTTGTTTTTGCTATTTTCGGTTTCTGGGGGCCCTTACTGGCCCTCGGGGCCGTCAAAAAGCGACTCAGGACGAAGAACCGGTCCCGGGGAATGGGTCGAGAATTCCAGGGGTCGACTGTATGAAAAAATCATGGCGTCGGGGGTCTGGGAACAGGGCCGCCGCGGAAGGGCGGCGGAGAGTCGGCAGAAGAAGAACCAGGCCCCCGCCCTCCTCAGGGGACTTACAGAGCCGTCCTCATGCTGGTGGACGCGTAGGGGCGGGGCTGGGGCACGAAGATACCCACCTGCCTTTGCTCGCTCTTCGTCGGGCTTCTGGTTTAGCATAGTGCCTAATTATACCTGCGCCGTTCGCACGGCAGTTTAGAGCCCCTCACGAGACCTCCTGCGCCGAAGGATCATTGGGGGTAGTGCGCGCGTGTGTGTGTGTGTGAGTGTGGAAGGTGGCGGAAGCAAAAGATGCGCCCCTAAGAGATGAACCCGTTTTGGGGTTCCGGGGTTCCGAGGTCCGCCATGCTGAAGAGAAGCATATTTTTCTCGCCGGCGGCGACGCAGGCTGATCCGCTCCAGCGCGGCAGCGATATATGGGGGCACGGCAGAGCGAAGTGGCTGGCATGCAGAGGGAGGGGCAGGAACAAAAAAGGCGGCCGCGGGGAGGGAGAGGAGGGCGGAAGCTGAGAGAGAAAGCGCGCACGAAACCCAAAAAAGGCACGGGGAGGTGATGTATCCCTTGTTTTGCCGATCGGCGCGGGCCCTCGTACCCCCCCTCCCCCCCACCCCACCCCCATGGAGTAGATCTTGGCTGTTTCTGGCGCCTGTTTCGAGCAGGTGGAGCCGATCCCCCATAGGACGCACTGCTGCAAACCGTCGCACTAAGCAGAGGTTCGGGGCCAGATCTCCCCCTCTCCCCCCCCCCGTCCGCCAAATGTCGAAACGCCGAATACCACAAAACGCTCACGAGTGGATGTCCGCGCGATGGAAGGAGCCCCCGATTCCCCGCAGGGCTCGCCGAGAGGATGCTGGCCCTCGGGGCGGAGGCGGCCGGAGTCTCCCTGCGCAGCCACAAGGTCAGAGGACTGAAAAGGTACCGATACTGCTACAGGAGAGGCCCACGCCAAGAAACTCCCTGCTTGCCTCCAGGGTGCCCTGGGCTTCTCTGGTTTCGATGGTTCTGCTATGGAAGGCGTGGCGTCCCCCCCCCAAAAAAAACAATGGACGCCCTGGGGTCTCAAGGTGGGGTTTTTTGTGGCAGGTTTCTTGTGGTCGGGCCCCTGCTGTACCCTGGCCTCGTGTTCGCCTTTTCGGGTCTCCTGGGAGCCCCTCGCTTCGCCGCGGCTGGTTTCGCCTCGGAGTCCTAGCCAGAACGCTCCCGGGGAGGGGTCCGGGGCCCCTTTGGAGCGAGGCTCGCCGGGCCGGGCTCCCCACGCCGACCGGAGGAACCGATCTGGGCACCCCCGTTGGGGCTTTGGGGGTCCCTCGGGGCTCGTTGGGAGCCCGCCGGCCGTCTTCGAGGCCGTCTTGGGGGCCCTCTTGGGCCGTCTTGGGCGCACCTGGGGCCGTCTTGGGGCCCTCTTGGGCCCCTCTCGGGGGCCTCCTGGGGGCGCCCCTTGGGGCGCCTCAGTAGAAGCATCGGAGCCTTGCCGTTTTTTCTTGCGAGGGCCGCACGGCGGCGGACTACGCGGAGCTGCACGGTCGCCCGGAGCTGGCGCTGCGGCTGCGGGCGCTCATGGCGCAGAGGCTCGCCGAGGGTGGTCGGGCGTTGTGTGGCGTGTGCGGGGTGGAGGTGGCTCGGCGCCCGAAGCTCCACGAGGTCGTTGCACGCTGCAGCAGCGGCGAGGAGCGGAATGCGCTGCTGGTGGACTTCTGCACCACCCGCTGCGGCGTCGTCTCGACCCTGCTGCACCCGCACTTCCACCCGCTCAACGACGATGAGAAGCTGCGCAAGAAGTTGACCCAGTCGCTGGGCGTGCTGCAGGCGCTTGAGCAGCTCGTCCCTGACCTGGACGGCTGGCATGTGATCGATTTATGTAGCGGGAAGTCTCTGACGTCGACGTTGGTCGCTCTTCAGCATCCCACCGTCACGGTGACCGCGGTGGACCGCTTGTCCCAGGCGCACTTACCGCATTGGACAGAGGCGGGACTTGATAATGCATTGTACAAGCGCCTTGATGTTATGGCGGAAGACTTCATGGACCAGCTCGCAAACACTGTGGCCGCGTCGGGCAGGCCGGTGGCGGTACTTGGAATGCACTTATGCGGAAGTTTGAGCGAGCGGGCCGTGGAGGTGTTTCAAACAATGCCGCTGGTACGCGCTTGCATCCTATCACCCTGTTGCCTGCCGCCGCTGCACAAAGCGCCTCCATCTGTGGCGCCGCTATACCGTACCGGCGCGCAGGACGACGAGCAATACCACGCTTGGTGCGCTCACCTGGAGCGATCGCTGGGCGCAGGGAATGGGGTAATCGGAAGACGCAATGAATAGGGGTGGATATCTTGGGGGGGTTTTGTTCGCACTCGGTCTCCAGCATGGTCGGGTAGCCAAGACAGCGGAGCCGAGGGATGCGCGCAGTGCTTTGCCCAGGGTAGACACTCTTGTTGCTGCCCCCAAGGTGAGTGTCGCCAGCCGCCAAATCGAGGAGATGCTAACGATCAAGTCTACAGTGCTGAGTGCCTCCAAGCCACCCCTCAGCCCGGCGGAGGCTGCAGAGGCAGCGGCCGCCGCCGCGGCGGCCGCAGCACGCAGCGTTCTGCCTGCGCGCCTCTTCGTACGGCTGCTGTTCGGCACCGACCAGCAGCTGCAGTGCCACGGGGAGTACACGCTGGAGGCCTCAGACAGTGAGCAGCCCGTCTGGCGGCACGTCGGCGAGGATCGGTCGATCCACCTTGGCGCCGACGGGCTCTGGCGCATCAGTGACAGCAGCGGCGAGCACTTTGCGCAGCACCCCGCAGCGGTGGGGGCGTCTGCGCGCGGCCCCGACACGCTCCCGCACGAGCAGCTGGGGGCGTGGGAGAGGCGCGACGCAAAGAAGCGGCGGTGGCTGACGGACGGCGCCCTCGCTGTGACGCTGACGGAGAGGCGGAGGAAGCTTTCCAGCAGCCCGCCGCGGCGGGGTCGGAGTCGGCAAAAACGCGGTCGCCTGCACGGGCACAAGCGCGCGCTCGGTTCGGCGGCTGCGTTGCACGGGTGTCGCACGTGGTGTCCCACCTGATCCTCCAGATCCTCCTCTCTCTCTCTCTCTCTCTCTCCCTCCCCCATCCCACATGCCTACGAATGCTTCCCCTCGTCGTACCACACGACGCGTCGGCAGGGCCGTCCTCCTGAGACTTCCCCGCAGCGTACGATTCTAGACGTGGCGAGTCCAACCTCAACACAGATAGATGGAGCACTGGTCGTTGTTTCACCATGTGTCTTTCATGTCAGCGACGCGCTCATTCGCCATACAAGCACCCAGCACGTGTGTGGCGCAAGCGCAGTCCGTTTCTATGGTTCTCGCATCAGAGCCGCCCACATTCGTCCCATCATGCGCCAACCGTCAAACGGATGGAGTGCGGATGGTTCACCCAATATTGCTCTCGATTTCGCGCTGCGCCTCGTTCTTTGCACACCGCAGCTCTCGTTTGAGACGTCCCTGCGCACGCAGCTTGCAGCTGCCACGGCTGCGCGGAGGGAGAGCTGCCCAATGTTGTACTAATGTTGTCTTGCGTCAGGCTCGATAGGTTGAAAAGGCTTCAGTCAACCCGCGTAGTAAGGATAAGCAACCTTCCCAGGGGATACTCTAATATACTTGCCTCCTCGGCCCATCCTTGGCCGCTTTCGCTGGCCGCGCCCCGCTCGCAGAGTGTCGACATGGCCTCCCAAGGCCCTTGCATCCTTGAGGCGCATCCTTGCTATACGGGCTGGCTGTAGCAGCGAGATGCCGAAGAACGACTGGGTCCAAAGGCTTCGGACGCCAACCAGCTCGGGACTCGAGAGCCTTGAGCGACGCCCGCGGCTACGAGGTTCGCCCCCAGCACCCCCACCACCCTTCTTATAGATCACCCAAGGAAGGGCTACCCTAGGGCTATCCCTAGGGCCTACCCCTAGGGCTACCCTAGGGCTACCCCTAGGGCCTACCCCTAGGGCTACCCTAGGGATACCCCTAGGGCCTACCCCTAGGGCTACCCTAGGGCTACCCCTAGGGCCTACCCCTAGGGCTACCCTAGGGCTACCCCTAGGGCCTACCCCTAGGGCTACCCTAGGGCTACCCTAGGGCCTACCCCTAGGGCTACCCTAGGGCTACCCTAGGGCCTACCCCTAGGGCTACCCTAGGGCTACCCCGAGGGCCTACCCCTAGGGCTACCCTAGGGCTACCCTAGGGCCTACCCCTAGGGCTACCCTAGGGCTACCCTAGGGCCTTCCCCTAGGGCTACCCTGGGGCTACCCCTAGGGCCTACCCCTAGGGCTACCCTAGGGCTACCCCTAGGGCCTACCCCTAGGGCTACCCTAGGCCTACCCCTAGGGCCCCTAGGGCCTACCCCTAGGGCTACCCTAGGGCTACCCCTAGGGCCTACCCCTAGGGCTACCCTAGGGCTACCCCTAGGGCCTACCCCTAGGGCTACCCTAGGGCTACCCCTAGGGCCTACCCCTAGGGCTACCCTAGGGCTACCCCTTGGGCCTACCCCTAGGGCCGCCTTTGCCGGAGGAGAAGCACGAGGATGAGGGGGAGGAGTACCGAGGAGGAGGAGGAGGAGGAGGAGGAGGAGGAGGAGGAGGAGGGACAGGGAGAGGGAGAGGGCGGAGGAGGAGCAGGAGGGACGGAGAGAGGAGGAGGAGGAGGGGGAGGACGAGGAGGAGGAGGACGAGGAGGAGGAGGAGGAGGAGGAGGAGGTGACAGCCCCGCCTGCGCCGCCCTGGCGCCAGACGGCGCCCCCGTCGACCGTCGATCGGCTCGGCTTTGCGTCGTCGTCGTCGTCGTCGGCGTCGTCGTCGTCGTCGTCGCCGTTGCCGTCGTCGTCGTCGCCGCCGCCGCCGTCGCCGCCGCCGCCGCCGCCGTCGTCGTCGTCGTCGTCGTCGTCGTCGTCGTCGTCGTCGTCGTCGTCGTCGTGGTTGTCGGTCGGTCGATCGGTCAGACTGCCGCTCGGCCGGCGCGTCGGTCGGACAGTCGGACGGTCGGTTGTGGTCGTCGTGCGAGGGGGGGTCAGCGAGGGGGGATCTGCGAGGGGGGGTCAGCGAGGGGGGGTCTGTGAGGGGGGTCCCAGAGGGGGGGTCAGCGAGGGGGGGTCCCAGAGAGGGGGTCTGCGAGGGGGGTCTGCGAGGGGGGGTCAGCGATGGGGGGGTCAGCGAGGGGGGGTCCCAGAGGGGGGGGGTCTGAGGGGGGGTGTCTTGGAGGGGGGGGCTCAGCGATGGATACCTTAGGGCTAACCCCTTGGGCTACCCGTAGGCCGCCTTTTGACCGGAGGAGAAGCACGAGGATGAGCGCTTGGAGGGAAGTACCGAGGATGAGGAGAGAGAGGAGGAGGAGGAGGAGGAGGAGGAGGAGGAGGGACCAGGGAGAGGGAGGAGGGAAGAGGGCGGAGGAGGAGAAGGAGAGACGCGAGAGAGGAGGTAGGAGGAGGAGGGGCGTAGGACGAGGAGGAGGATGACGAGGATGAGGAGGAGGAGGTGACAAGCGCAGCCTGCGCCGCCCTGGCGCCAGACGGCGCCCCCGTCGACCGTCGATCGGCTCGGCTTTGCGTCGTCGTCGTCGTCGTCGTCGTCGTCGTCGTCGTCGTCGTCGCCGTTGCCGTCGTCGTCGTCGCCGCCGCCGCCGTCGCCGCCGCCGCCGCCGCCGTCGTCGTCGTCGTCGTCGTCGTCGTCGTCGTCGTCGTGGTTGTCGGTCGGTCGATCGGTCAGACTGCCGCTCGGCCGGCGCGTCGGTCGGACAGTCGGACGGTCGGTTGTGGTCGTCGTGCGAGGGGGGGTCAGCGAGGGGGGGTCTGCGAGGGGGGGTCAGCGAGGGGGGGTCTGTGAGGGGGGTCCCAGAGGGGGGGTCAGCGAGGGGGGGTCCCAGAGGGGGGGTCTGCGAGGGGGGGTCTGCGAGGGGGGGTCAGCGATGGGGGGGTCAGCGAGGGGGGGTCCCAGAGGGGGGGTCTGTGATGGGGGGGTCTGCGAGGGGGGGTCAGCGAGGGGGGGGGGAGGGGGAGGAGGAGGAGGAGGAGGAGGGGAGGGGGAGGAGTGAGAGGAGGAGGAGGAGGAGGAGGAGGAGGAGGAGGAGGGGGGCCCAAGCCCAGACCTCCTCGAAGACCGAGGGCCGAGCAGGTCTTCGTCGGTCCTCGGCGTCTCCCTCGCGTCGGCGTGCGCTCAGGAAGGCGCGCCCCGCCGGGCACGCTCCAGGCCCAGACAGTCGTCGTTGTCGTCGTCGTCGTCGTCGTCATCGTCGTCATCGTCGCCCTCCGCCTCCCCCTCCTGCTCCTCCTCCCCCTTCTCCTCCTCTTCCACTCCCACTCCGCCACAAAGGGCATCAATATGTAATCCGCCAGCAAAGCAAGCAATGCCTTTAATGTCCCGCCCGCCCGCCCGACCAAAAGAATCAGCTTGTAATCCGCCACAATAGTAATCAACTTGTAACCCGCTGCCACATGGAATCACTTTGTAATCCGCCACCAAATCAACCAATGCTTTTAATGCCCCGCCCGCCCGCCCGACCAAAGGAATCAAATTGTAATCCGCAATAAAAGAGAATCCATTCGTAATTCGCCACACAAGCAATCATTGCCTTTAATGTCCCGCCCGCCCGCCCGACAAAAGGAATCAATGTGTAATCTGACACAATAAGAATCAGTGTGCCACCCGCCACACATGCAATCAATGCCTTTAGTGTCCCGCCCGCCCGCCCGACAAGAATAATCAGTTGATAATCCACCACACAGGGAATCAATATATGTAATCCGCCACCAAGGCAACCAATGCTATTAATGTCCCGCCCGCCCGCCCGACCAAAGGAATCATATTGTAATCCGCAATAAAGGGTTACCCCTAGGGCCTACCCCTAGGGCTACCCTGGTGCTACCCCTGGGGCCCACCCCTAGGGCTACCCTAGGGCTACCCCTTGGGAAGCCTAGGGCCTTGGGTAGGGCCTACCCTTGGGAAGCCTAGGGCCTTGGGTAGGGCCTACCCTTGGGAAGCCTAGGGCCTTGGGTAGGGCCTACCCTTGGGAAGCCTAGGGCCTTGGGCAGGGCCTACCCTTGGGAAGCCTAGGGCCTTGGGTAGGGCCTACCCTTGGGAAGCCTAGGGCCTTGGGTAGAGCCTACCCTTAGGAAGCCTAGGGCCTTGGGTAGGGCCTACCCTTGGGAAGCCTAGGGCCTTGGGTAGGGCCTAGGGTAGCCAAGGCCCCCGGTGATCTATACCCCACCCTTGGGATCTCTTGGAGCCAGCAGGCCCGCGGCTCTACGTCGAGCGGTCACAGTCGATGCGGCCGCAGGCGAACGAGGAGAGGGGCTCTAGGCTCTGGTGTCGCCCCGGGTCCCGACCCCCCAACGGAGCCCCCGTGGTGAGGCCTCAGAGAGTAACATGCCAATCTTCCGTCGTCGTGGGCAAACAGAGTCGCCACGAAGGCAAGGCCTCCCGGGACACAGGGGCCCGGAAGGTTTTGGGGGGGCGTGCTCGAGCTCCCGGGCCCTCTCCACGGGCCGCAGGGCTGCCACAAGAGTGTCTCGGGACGAAGGGCGGTCCCGGGGAGAGGCCCCGACGCCCATTGGCAGGACCCGCCTCTTGCCGCCTCGGGATCGGCTTCCGTCGTCATGGGCGAACGGAGTCGCCAGGAAGGCGAGGCCTCCCGGGACAAAAAGGGGCCCGGAAGGCGTTTTTGGGGGTCGTGCTCGAGCTCCCGGGCCCTCTCCACGGGCCACAGGGCTGCCGCAAAAGTGGAAGAGGAGGAGGAGGAGGAGGAGGAGGAGGAGGAGGAGGAGGGAGGAGGAGGAGGAGGAGGAGGAGGAGGAGGAGGAGGAGGAGGAGAGGAGGAGGAGGAGGAGGAGGAGGAGGAGGAGGAGGAAGGATGATGGGAGGAGAGGAGGAGGAGAGGAGGAGGAGGAGGAGGGAGGAGGAGGAGGAGGAGGAGGAGAAGAGGAGGAGGAGGAGGACTGCCGCAAAGAGGAGGAGGAGGAGGACTGCCGCAAAATGTCTTCTCGGGACGAGGGGCGGTCCCGGGGAGATGCCCCGAGGCCCAGGACCCGCAAGAGGGGCTCGAGGCTCTCCAGCTCGAGCCCCCGTGCCCCCCTTCCACGGGCCGTAGGGCTGCCACAGAACTGGAGGAGGAGCGGGAGGAGGAAGAGGAGGAGGAGGAGGAGGAGGAGGAGGAGGAGGAGGAGGAGGAGGAGGGAGAGGAGGAGGAGGAGGAGGAGGAGGAAGAGGAGGAGGAGGAGGAGGAGGAGGAGGAGGAGGAGGAGGGAGGAGGAGGAGGAGGAGGAGGAGGAGGAGTAGTAGAGTAGGAGGAAGAGGAGGAGGAGGAGGACTGCCGCAAAATGTCTTCTCGGGACGAGGGGCGGTCCCGGGGAGATGCCCCGAGGCCCAGGACCCGCAAGAGGGGCTCGAGGCTCTCCAGCTCGAGCCCCCGTGCCCCCCTTCCACGGGCCGTAGGGCTGCCAC